GGAAACACTCGTTTAATATGCTGAGCTAGTACAGACAATACACCGAAAAAAGTAATGTACTATACAAAGCCATTTCTGCAACGAAAATGAAACCTTTTTAAAGTTTCGTACTACACCCAAAATTCTTATTAAGTTTGGTATCTGTACACGAAGCATTTTACCAGTTTGATATTGAAGGTGAAATCATTTTTATTCGTGTATGATACCTCATTTTTGTTCAGACTGTGCGCTATTTTTCGATAGTGTTTCGTAATTGTTCAACTGAAATCATAATCATAAAGTTTCTATAAGAGCTTTTATTTCTGTTTTACGTGAATGTCATACAAATCACTATTGAAGTGAAAGAAAAGTGGGTAATTTTTGAGTGCATTCTAATAAAAAAGAGGTAAAGAGCTGCTGTTTTCACCGTTCAAAAAGGACACAACAGTATCGAATAATATATTATACGTTTTCTGAGTATGCTGGATGAAGCTTTCTAATGAATTTTTGCTAAGTGTGGAAGAAGCGCTGTGTTCTTTTGTACAAAAAAGGAAACCGTTTCTTCGTGTTTCAAATCCACACATAACGCCTTAAAAACTGTTGTCACACCTCACGCCGTACACTTTTTTCAAAGGGATTGATTGAAGGTCTTAAAATAGCTACGTTACACAGAAACCTAGAATTTCATATTCGATACATCTTTGTTGGTTCTCTCGAAAGATGAAATCCATAGCTCTCTCTCTCTCCCCTTTCGATGTATGAAGAAGAAAGCACCTGCGAAGACTATGAACTGTATAGAATTGTAGAACATCTAACACTCTATCAAATTGAGTTTGAAAATAAAATATGAACAACATTATTTTATAATTTCTTAGAGATTACAAACAAAATTTAAGAAATTTTTTTCTATCGTATATGCCACATGATGCAGCACAAATACTGCTACGAAACCATATAGTATATCCTGATTCAAGAAAGATCACGAAATTAGACAATGTCTTTTCATACAGTATTTTGAATTCTTATATCCATCATTCATTGGTGAAGCCATCGCTTTTTTAATAAGATTATTAAGACAGATCTTCTCTATGTACACAAAGAATCGTTGGCTGTTATCCAATGAGAAATAGTGTATTAGTAAAAACTTTATAGTGCTTTTTAAGACAACAGTTCATTACATACCTGGGATTCATCGAACATTCAGATGTTGTTGTTAAACATTTGATGAAATAGTTGATATCGGAAGTTTTATAACGTACATATGTAGTAAAATGTCTCGTTTACAATAATGCATATAGTAGCTCTGTCTTGGCTTTAGATGTAACTTCCTTTCAGATAAATTCTACTTAGAGGTGACCAAAGGTTCTGATAAAACCATATAAAAATATAAAAAAAGGAAATGTTTTATGTTTTATCATATTACATGTTCAAAATAGCCATCAGTATTATTTGTACAATGTTTCATTCTTTCTAACAGTTTGTCTGAAGGTTTTTGAATTCTTTTTCGGAAATGTTTCTTACTATTTAAATGTAAAGGAAGGTTAGAATTTAATCCAAGATAGGATTGTTACATGGATAGTTTTACATGAGGCATTCTACAATGTATTGATACAGTAAAACTGTTTATATTAACTGTTTTATAAAATTTTAAACACATGGACCACAACTATTTATCAACTCTAAGTATCATAAGGGAAGAAAATTTGAAATTTGCATCCTATTTTGACGGAAAGCAAAGGAAGAAAGAACTACCGTCAATATCTAGATCACCAGATACTTGATCAACAGTAATAAATGCTAAATAATATCTTTTGTTTAGAGATTATTTAATCGATTTCAATAAGTTTTTGTACGCGGAAAACAAACAGTAGCAACACTAACTACTTGATTCATCAAAACTGTGCAAAAAAACAAAGGTCAACAATGCAGTTTCAATCAAACGAGGTATGCAATGCTTAGTTCTCAATTAAAAAGCCATTTTCGTATAGAAAATTAGTAATCAAAAGTGTAGAACACTGGTTTTCTTTAGAAGACTAGTTGCTAACCATCAAGTAGTGTACGAATGGTAGTAGCTGTAATATATCGAGAAACTGATATCTATTGCACAAGAGTCTTGAGATTTGTTGTTGCTGTTCGAATTATATATGTGTTCATTTTTTACTCTGCATAGTCAATGCTTTCATAGCTGCTGAAAACAATCGTTAGAATATATATAGTCAAGTTTGATATCAGCAAATATTTTAGCAAGCACTCTTTTACAATGACAGTTGATATCGCTTTTTTTCCTTTCAAAGCAATTATAAAGATAGCAACTATTCTCTCAGAAAACTCATGACCTTGACTGCAGCGCTTGATAGAATGATAGAGAACTATTTTTATCATATACAGCTCGTCCTATATAAAATTTGATATTTCTAAAATCAAAATAGTTGAAAATATCTCTAGAAGAAAATTATTAGATAGTTTCATTAGGGAGTTTATATTATTTAAATAACTGAGATGTGCCTTTTATATTTAGAAATTCTAAGAAAATTTTACTTTTCCAACTAAAAATTCTAACAACAATGATTGTCGTGTCTTGATCAAGGTTTGACAGATCTGAAATTCTGCAAGAGACTATTTTGAAAAATATTATTGGAAAACATATTGAAAGTCTTCTCTCTGAAAGTATTCATGCAAGAGAATTGAAAACAGAAAAAACAATACATCTGCGTTTTGACAAAAATCAACAATAGTTAAATAAGCAGTAGCTTTGATAAGCATTTTAATATTCTGCAGTATGCGCACAGCGTTTTGATCGGGTATAACTTTATCGTCAAAAATCTTGTGCAGCCTCCTGAACATATTGGTCACATGTATTTAGTAGTTGAAAAAACGCACGAACGCCACAGAAAAGTTGTATTCTAATACGCATATCGACTGGTCGCATTCAATAGAATTACTGCATGAACAGTTTTCTGTAGAAACTTTCCATAATTAGAGATATATTGTTATGCTCATGTCAGATATGTAGTTTTCTTTAACTATTGTCTCATTGTAGATTGAAATGGTTCCTATGAAACATAATGTCAAAGTGATGAAATACGCGTCTCGTAGGAACACCGTGTGCGATCACCCAAGCGAGAAGCTTAGATCAATTCCTAATACCGAAAATGCAAGTAACGATCCGTATATGACTACCGTTCGAATCAAAAATTATACATTTCGACAAAATCTGTATGAGTTTTTCTTTTGTTGTGAAATATCATCATTGTTGCTCTTTTCTAGGAAGTTATTTTGCTGGTTGATGTTGGATTTCTTACCCAGACCTATTTGTGTGTTGCCTATGATCACAACTGTAGTTACAATCATAGGTATATTGGTAGTCTGTTTTACTGCACCGAAATCTTCATGTACGTACTCATTGCTGCCTATTCTTCGTATTGGATAAAATAAAAATCCATATTTACTTCCGTTCCTTTCTATCCATATTCTCAGTTTTGGTTAAAAGAATTTTAATTATGATAAAATGTTTGATATAGATATATTCGAAATTACTCATTAGGCAAGAACCGAACTGTAAGGATTACAACTGCTTCACTTTTTCATCTTAAATTAGCAGTGACGAATATCAACCAGTCAAGTTGACCATCACTGGAAGATTTGAACTATTTGCTCCATAAGTCGGATCCTTTAATTGTACTCACAGACAGTGACCATAACTTTAAAGAAATTCCAGTGGGAATCTCCCAATTTTCACTTTGTTCTAAAGGAAGCAGAATTATAAGAATCCCGAAGATGTAGATTATTGTATCGTCTATAAACTTTTTTTCATACGTCAAGAAAACAGAAATTTCATAATCTGATTGTTTTAACCGTCTGATGTTACACATTGTTACTTGTTGCAGAACGATCAGTCTTATCAAATTCAATGTTTTTCAATCACTTTTCTATTATTTTTGGTGATATCCTTTCACATCTCTGAATGCAAACAGCAGCGTAGCCCGAATGCCTTTTTCTCTATTTCATCAACATATTTTGTGACATAGTAGAAGCACGAAAGAATAACCGAAAATATAAGAGACTTTCCATGGAAAATAACAAGAGTAGATATCTCTCCTTCACGGAACACATCTTTCAATTTGCTCACTTTATATTACTTAGAGACGAGAGTAAGTAGTATATATGTCCCATCTCTATCTTCTTTCGTTCTGCTAGTATGTACGATACAATCATTTTACTTTTGTCTTTCTTTATGACCTTTTTATGTTCTATGTTGTATTCACCAGTAAGTTCTAATATCTTTAAAATTCTACGAATTATTTACGTGATCACGGTTCAAAGTAGTAAAATTTTGGTTGTACTTTTTAAAGTTGAGAAAAATATTTATCACTAATGTCCGCGCCAGAATGAAAGAAGGGTGGGTGTAAGCTCAATAACTCGACAACCGCAATAGCTAGCGACCTATGGTTTTCACCAATCGAAAGAGGGAGAGTTGGGATGGCTTTTTCTTCGATCATGCATAGGACGAAATCCTTTTAAAACTAATCATATTCGAAAAACATGCAAAAGAACTCATTAAAATGACCTGCCAGCTAGATGAAATTTTGATTTTGACCTTTTATTTGGATAGAGGGACTTGAGATCTATAGCTCAAGACACAATGCGCTTTCTTACTTTTTCTTACACTTTCATCGAAATCTCAAGCTACTAGGATAACAAGCGCGAAAACTTAGTAAAAAATCAGCAAAATTCCCTATTATTTGCGCATGTAAGTACAAGGTCGGAAAGAATATTATTCAAGGGGGGTAACGATATAATCCGGAATAGGAGGTATGATGAATTTTATACCAAATGAAAGCCCGTGAAAAACGGGGTTTAGTGATGCTAAATACAAAGGCTTTGGAAAACTTTCATATGTCAAACTCTGAAAAGTTCCGATTTTTCATCCATGAAAGTCATGAGAAAACTAGTTTATCATATAGTATTCGAATTAAAGGCATTAGAAAATAGTTTCTTTTTTTATTCTTTAATGAATATAATCAATAATCTGTGTGACGACCATTAGCATTTTTTACAGCACGAAATCGAGATGGATATGAGCATAGAAGAGTTTCAAATAGTTCAGTATCTTCTTCCATGCTTGCTAAAACATTTGCGACGTGCATTTTGAGCGTTTCTTCAAGATATCGATTATGTCCACTTTCCGATGACATTTTTTTTTCAACTTCATCTTTGATTATTGATCCGATGTGTTCTGCCACATTGAGATCAGGTGAATTTCCTGGCCAGATATCATTACCCCAAAATTTGACATCGTTGTCTTGGAGCAAATGTTGAGTTTTATTTGCTCGCATACACGGTGCTTTATCGTGAACAAATATAACTTCATCAGGATCAATAACATTTTCTTCATTTTTTAAGAAAGGAATTACATTTTCAATCAAAACAATATCGCGAAAATATTGACCTGTCCAAGATTCCCCTTTATCTTTGATAATCCATAGTAATCTTTTGCAAGTAAACATTATAAAAACTCCAACACATGATTGGTTTTTTACCATTTCACGATATCTTTCATCTTCAGTAACGTCTTCAATACTTTTCGCCCAGATCCTATCATTCTGATAATTTGGTCGACGGACAGTCGAAATATAAAATTCATCAGATGGTGCCAGATGAAGAAAATCTTCTACAGTCCAATCTTTTAACCAGTCACAGAGCCATAATCGATCTGATATATGAGTTTCAGATTTTAACGGTTTTGGAATAACATGAAACGGTTTTAATCCTTCTCTGTGACGGTAATTATTAATTGTTCTTCCGGTGGCATATTCTTTTTGCTTTTCTGCAATCTCCTTTGCCACAACAGGACCGCTTTTTCTTTGTTGACCACTTGCTTAACGAATAATTTCTCGACTAGCTTCTGATAATTTAGGTTTAGCACCAACATTTGAATAATCAGCAAAGCATTGATCATATGATTTTTCCCAAACCTCCGAGACAAATCGAGTTGTGCGATGAATTTTGTCCGCAATCCATTGTCTATTTATAAATGTTGAACCAGCATCGCGAGCTTCACGAAAAGCGATGCACTTGATCCTGTCAATCATTCTGTTGTTCAGTATCATAAGCACCAGTCATTTGAAATAACAAAAGTGTGATGATTTAACGAGACGATGAATTTTACTATGATACATATCGATAAGAAAATTATCTTTTATATCCCACGATGTATCTCCAAAATTTCTCTCCACTATGACTTTCGTGCAGAACGAAAAGAAAAAAATCTTTGATAGAACAACTAAAATTACAAGTAGTAAACAAAAGAACGCAAGAGAATCATCTTGTTTTCTGAATTATAGTTGTGTTTTCTAATCGTTACCATAACCTTCTGTGATATTTTTTCTATAAAACTCTTCATTTTCAATATCTTGAAACTCATTAAAAATGAGTTATAATGATTTTTTTTCAACAAAACGCAGTCTTTTTATGGGTTTGATGTATGAAAGTTTTCCAAAGCCTTTGTATTTAGCATCACTAAACCCCGTTTTTCACGGGCTTTCATTTGGTATAAAATTCATCATACCTCCTATTCGGGATTATATTGTTACCCCCGTTGAATAATATTCTTTCCGACCCTGTACATGATTCCATTTGCTCAACGTTAGAATGTAATAAGACATCCACTTGCATTGTATCTTGAGCTATAGATCTCAAGTCCCTCTATCCAAATAAAAGGTTAAAATCAAAATTTCATCTAGCTGGCAGGTCATTTTAATGAGTTCTTTTGCATGTTTTTCGAATATGATTAGTTTTAAAAGGATTTCGTCTTATGCATGATCGGAGAAAAAGACATTCCAACTCTTCCTCTCTCGATTGGTGAAAACCGTAGGTCGCTAGCTATTGCGTTTGCCGAGTTATTGAGCTTACACCAATCCTTCTTTCATTCTGGCGCGGACATTAGTTGGGATTGAACAGATTGATGGAAATCATTGATTGCCTACTGTACGAAAAAGCAGGAGAGATAAATAGTTCCATGCTTGTCACTCAAAAAATATTGGTGAACATGCGTTGCCCCTATGACAGAATTATTGACAAATGCACTAATTAAGGTAGATCGTCTTCATACATGGTTTGTCAGCCAGTAGATTCACATTCCCTTCTCGATCGTCACAATTTTGCTCGTTGTTATTTTTACGCATTCGTCGCAGACTTTGTTATATTCTGTTTATTACTCTAAATTACTAATCCAAACTACTGATTGGATTACTGGAAGGATTACACAATAGAACAGTTTTGATATCCGTTTGATTCTGCAACAGTGTTGCACAGCACAGTTTTGAAATAAATTCTACAGTAAATGAGAAGATGAAAACCGAAAAGTGGCTTGATTGATAGGTTTCCATATTTAACTTTATCTGAATTCCAAGAAATTAATCAGAGTTCTTTTACAAGATGAGACTTATGAATTTTGTCTTCATAAAGCCCAACGATAAAGTCTGACAGCATTCTATAGGAATTTCGATAGTTGGAAACAATCAAAAATAGATAGCTCTACCGAAGAAAACAGTCAGTAATCCCATTCTGTTTCATGTATTGTTTAGTTCCGAAATGCCGTCTCAATTTCAGACCAACGGCTCAAAAACCAATTGAATACAAACACGGTCCACGATCGGTCGCCATTGGTGATTTTGATAATGACACCGTTTTGGATATGGTTATTGCCAATCATTTAGTGAACAAAATAGCTGTGTACTTGGGAAATAGCGATGGGAGTTTTAAAAGTCCAACAACGTATTCAACAGGTTCCTACTCTAGTCCTTACATGGTCACAGTTGCTGATTTCAACAATGACAAGCGATTGGACATCGCAGTAGCGAATTTCGGCACTAACAATATCGTTATTTTTCATGGATTTGGCGATGGGTCTTTCGCAAATCAAACACAACTTTCAACAGGCTCCTCTCGTCCCATTGCGATTATCGGTGCTCATTTCAACAATGACACACTACTTGATATTGCCATAGCCAATTACGGAAACCATAGTATCAGTATACTCTATCAATATGGAAATGGAAGTTTTTCGCTTCCAATTACATATCC